GAGAGAGAGAGAGAGAGAGAGAGAAGGAGGGGAGGGATGAAAAGAATACAATGAGAGAGATAATGAGAGAGAATGAGATTCCAAGCAAACGCGAGCAGAGGAAAGAAAAATCCGAACATTGAGTATCCTGTAATAAAGTTGATTGGAGTACTTCCCTTCCACCCGTCTTATCCTTCCCATTTCCCTTCTTAACTCTTCCGCTTCACGGGCTCACTCGGCCCCCTCTGGCCCGGCGTAAGATGACCCGGGCTGAAGCGTAGCGGTCAAGGTGGTAATCCTTTGGTGACGTGTGAATTAATGATGCCGTGACCTCGTGGCACGTGACTCACGAGTGCCAGCGAGGGCAGAGCACGCGGCCCTGTCTGCCTCGTGTTGTCTGAAGGCGTAGTGTTACACGCAACTCATAGGAGGGCGGCAGGGCTGCGCTATCTGCTGCTCGCATTACGGGAATCAGCACTCGCTATTTCCCTTCCTCTTTCTATATATATTTTTCTCTTACCTACAAACACACGCACCACAAGAAGATTGCGGTGGGTGTGCAGGGTAGGCAAAACTGCAGCAGGGGGGAAGCCAATTTTAGATAAACTATTATCTTTTCGAATTTATTTCAGCCATGCGATAAAGGATTTGTGTGTGTAAGCCTCACTTCTTTAGATCTATTGTTCGTATAGAGATTAAAAATACTATAGAAAAGTTCCACTTTTGTGTTTTGTAATTACAAATCTGGGAACTAAACGGTTCCAGGGTCGGCTGGGGTGGGGTGTGTGGGTGGGGTGAGCAGGGGTCTTTTACAGGAGGACACCTACCCCCTACCTCATCTACATCCACCAGTCACACCCGCATGCATAAAACTAGCAAATTCTGTTTTTGAATGCACGCGTGTGTTTCTGTAACTGTTGCGTCAATATAAATCCATAGAGATATCAGTCGGCAACGCACTTTAATTATCTTTTTTTTTCCTGAAAAAGAGAAGAGCATATACGATATCGCGTTATCTGGAATTTAATCGCAATTGTCGGGACGATACTGATAACGCTGTCTACCGTGGTTAGTTAGCATCAAGCGTGAAGTGAAGTGCTCAGGTATTTGCACCCGGCTTACTTCATTTGTAGTTTTACGGGCAAGAAAAACGAGCGGTCAAGTTTTTTTTCGGTCAGAATGACACGAGAACTTTGCCTTGTGGGTGTCCTTATGGCGGTGACAGGGGTGGGCTTGAGAGCAGAGCCGCCGGCGGCACGACGGCGGGGCTTTGAGGGCGCACACGCAAAAAGCCTTCCGCTGCTAGACGATGTATACAATAACCTTGTCGTCGCCGTTAGTGGAGACCCAGCGGAAAATGTCTCTGAACTTCTTGAGAATTTGATAGTAAGTGAACATTTCATCAATTAACAACCTTTTATCCAGAAATGTGCAAACATTGTTAAATAAACATTAACTAATTTCAAAGTTATATGATAAACATGTTGCTGTAATGCTCTAGCTTAAACAGTAATACCAAAATCACTGTCAACGATCACATCACAGTGTCAGCATATGACCCTAATATTTTTGTAATATAGCAACAAAGAAGTAAGAACTGACAGTTTAACTTCAAATATTCATTTTGATGGCACGTTACAGTTTAGGATATTATTGCTGCCCCTAACGAGGTCAACATGTGTAGGTAATATACAGAGATACATTATAAATGAATATGGAACTCCTACTCAGATACTAAACTTCCTACAGTATGTAGAAATAAATAATATATTATATTAATCGGTTGTCAGGTCACATCAACATTTTTGTTCTTTTATTTTATAAAATACCTAAACGACAATGGCATAAAAATAAGGCACTTTAATTACAAAGTCCAAAGATTCAAGGTATATAAATTAATAAACAATATAGAACACATCTAACCATAAAACTAAAAATGCACCCATGAGAGTGCTGTTCGAGAGCGCTGTGAATCAGTGCCGCAAGTGCTCTCCTCTGAGGAATCCAGTCGTTAATGTCCATAGGCTCTGTTAAATATTCACAGGCGCTAACTTTTTGCATGCTTTGGTACTCTTCTGTCACTTTTGTCAGTTTTGAATAATTCTGAAAGTATTTCCCCCTTTCCCCAGTGAAAAGGATCTATTCGTAATGCCTTAAGCTGACCTTGAAATATTCGCTCGTTATTTTACGTTTATACGACAAGACCTTTCTTAAAACGTACACTAAGAATCGAGTTCCTCTCTTCGACATTAAAGTTGCAAATCCATGTGCGTGATGATTTTAAGGGGGTGTCTAACTAGCACAATTTCCGTGTTTTTTTCTCGCTACCTCTTGTATTTTGGATGAATGCGATAAATTCCAGTCAAACGATAATTATCGTTTTCGCTGGCAAGTTTCCGTGGTCTGTTTTGGTTCAAATGATAAGCTATAATAGATAATCGTTATAGTAATGTAAAAAAAGCATTTATAATATAAAACGATTCAAACAGACAGTCTACACTGTAAATAATATTTTAAAATTGGCAAAATTCTCTCTTGTATTTAATAAAAACAGATACAAGTTTGTAACTAGCTGCTCGCCTGTTTGTTTACATTTGTGTCGTTCCCCCGTCAGCTGACTCGATGAGAATAGCGAGAATACGCCCTTATTTAGCACTATACAATCGTTGTTTCGCATTAAATCGTCGCCACATACCCTGAATAACGTCCATCATCGCCAGAGCCTGTGCGGGGATTGAACCCATATTTCTGTGTTTAGAATTTTGGTCGGACTGTATCCGTGGTTCTCATCGCTAGTGTGACTGCGCGAGCCAAAATGACCTCGATTTCCGTGGTGCCAGTGGAAAAGTAATGCCGAAAAAGTCCAAGTGTGACACGGCCTTTCGTCTCTTTCTATGATCTTATTTAGAACAATTGTATCCCTAGTTTCATTTGCAAACTAACCATGCAAAAATCCCTAGGCCGCCTTGAGAGCCCCAAGGACGTGCAGCTTTTTACGTCAATCGTGGGTCCTCTGTCAGTGATGGACAGAGATCCAGAATAAAAAGAAAAAGCGAGACTTCCTTCGGTGACCCTATGTGTTAGCTTAGATTTTATAAACATTTTCTTTCTGGTGGAAAAGCAACCATGATCATGCACCTAGCGATGAAAATATGAGCAAGAAAGACATATTTCTCTTCTTTCCTCTCTTGTTTCAGAATGTGGTGCAGGAAGCTTCAAACGTTCTTACCAAAGCTACCGGCGACCGGATTAAGTTTGGAAAGATGACAGTCCTTTTCCCCGAACACTGGGAAATTCTATCGCCGATTTTACCGTAAGACACTTTTCATTGTTTACTAAACACAACATATCCAGATTCACTCTCGCCGTTTCTCGACTGACGAAATCATCACTTGTCTTCATCACCCACCCCGAATTCGACTCACTCTCACCATCTTACCCAATTTTGAATTATTATCTTCTTTTATTCACTATATCTATTCAACTCTTGTTGAATAGAAATACTAAAGTCGAGAGCGTGTACCTGGCGAGCGCAGAGGCCCTCATCTGCTGGTGGCCGACAAGCATCCGGTTATCGCGGCGCCGGCGTGGACCCAGCACCGTCTGCCTTGCGGCCATCCTGGTGACTTCATCTTCCTGGATAGATCTTTCCTGAACGATACGTCCGATTCCGAAGAGGTAAAGGTAGAAAATACTACCTGTGATCCGTAATGATTTGAGGTTTACCGTGTTTTCGTTTTATCTTCTCGTTGGCACATTTTCCTTGTGTGATGAAGCGTTAAATGCAGTAAAATGTTATATAACTGAGTCTTCCCGACAGCAAAACTAAGAAACTTTTTACTTATTCCATTCTCCATCTGTCCGTCCTGGGCCCTTGGTCTCAAGAACCTCGCCTCGCCTCTTGCAGGAAAGAAGCTCGCGCAGGAGTGGGCGAAGTACCGCTGGGGCGTCTTCGAGGAGCACGGGTATAAGGGCGACCCCCTCTATCCCTTTACAAGAGAAGGCACAGAAGCAGGGAAGGAGGAGAAATAATCTATGTCTGGACGGAGGGAACTGGCTGAAATCAACGTCTTCCCTTCTCTCTCTGGCGGACAACCACGGGAAGTAAGGCTTGGGGCTTGTCGTTTCATTTGCTTAGTTTTTTCACCGAGTTTCTCTTCTCTCTCTTCCCTCTCTCTCCCGCCTCCCCCTCTCTGATCCTCCTCCTCCCTTCCTTTCTCTCTTTCCCTATCTGGCTGATTGTCTGTCTGTCTCATTATTATTATTATTATTATCATTATCTCTCAGTCTATCTCTCGCAGTTTTTCTCTCAGACTGTCTCCCTCTGATTCCCTATCTCTGATGATCGCACCTCTAATATTTATTTCCACGCAGATTCATTAAATCCAGTGACTTGACGCGATTCTATAAAATCTATGGGCAACTTTGGTGACTGAAACAAGTAACTGAGCTGGACACATTTAGCATTAAAGTGCAGCACGAAGAAATGTGACAGCAAGGTCCTTTTTTCCTTGGGTCCGGTTTGTCCGAACCCAAAGGCATTCTCCGTGATTCTCGGTTTCAGTGTATTTCAGCGCTCATTTTATGCTTCAGGATGAGTGGAAAAGCATCATCCAGTTCTGTGACTCAGAGAATCACGTCTTCACTGAGTCTCGCCACAATAACCTTTGTCAGGGAAAGAGTGCGTGGGAGATCATGAGAAGTCATGCAGATTTTGCACTAAATTCCAGGTAATTCAATTAATGCTGTTGTGTTTCTTAAAACAATAGTATAAAATAAAATAGGCTTATACATATGCATACTTATGCCCACCGCTCATACACGGAAAACACATACACATACAAGTATCAGAAAATATCTGATAATAATCATGAGATCGCATCTCACACACACTTAAACAAGACATCTTTTCCACACCATTCATCATAATCCAATTGATTTTCTCACAGCGAACCAGCCAGTGGATTGATAATTAACGTGGAACATTTACGGCGAGAGTACATTGTGCTTCTGGTGGAATACACAGCGGACATGGTGAACGTAGATCATAAGTGGAGTACCTGCACGACAGTGTTTCAGTACCTGCTCCATGATCTCGCGTGGGTACCAAGGTTAGTACCACCGATATGGGGAATAGAGAATAAGCAGACCGTTAGGAAATGAAAAGAAATTAAGAGAAATTGATTAAGGGAAATGGATGATATACAGTATACTCTGGAAATGATCGAATAGAAATAATGTACAGGCGACTTAGAATACCACAGATAGGTAAGATAGAGTGAAACAAAGATACAGGAAAGCGAGGGAATAGAAAGTCAAAAGGGTATCCTGGGTCTCCTTCTCGGCCTCTTGGGCGACTTCCTGGGTCTCCTTACCGGCCTCTTGGGCGACTTTACTCATTCCATAACTGAACGTAACTCAACAGTTAGTCAGTCTAGGAAGCGTAGAGCAGAGGACATTTGTCTCTTACTTTATATTTGTCCAATTGCGTAGTCAGTACCTTTAATCGTGAACCTTCGAATGTACAGACGACTTAGAATACCACAGATAAATAGGATAGAGGGAAACGAGGATAAAGGAAAGCGAGGGAAAAGGAAGCCAAGGAGGTATCGAGAAAAGGCGAGAGTTTAAAAGGTAAAGTGAAGGAGGGTTCAAACCTCAAATTCTCATTATTTCATTCTATTTAACAATTCTGAAACTCGCTCCCCAGTTGGAGAATCAACGTCTTAGAAGTTAAGATCGATACACAAGTCAATATTTTGCGACTTGGAAATATCCAGAATAAATGTTTCATATATCACCGCTTCCACTTTATGGTTAGGTCACCCTTGACCCTTATTTCGTCCCTCAAAGAGACTTCTGCCGGTGCTAAGAGCCTCTCCCTCAGGTGTGGGTGATGGCCTTCGCCTCTGACGTCCACCTGGTCGCCGAGGTCGCGCTCACGTCCGCCGGCGCGCGCCAGGCTGCAGCCGAAGCGCTGCGCCAGTTCGCGAACGAGACCGAGCCGGGGCTTTGCCGCGACCTGCAGATGGCGATTGGAGAGGCAGCCACGGTCAGTGTTTCATCAAGGGGTTAAAGGTCAAAGAGAGAAAAATGAAATTAGAACAAGAAGTAAAGGAAAGAACGTAAAAATAGTCAGCAATCCCTTACTGCATTTTAGTGACGATAATGAATCGATTAAATCTATATAATCATTTCTTGAGGAAAAATTTCCTTGGAATAACTCAAATGATAACCTTATCTTTGGCGATGCTTATTTGCAAATAGAATGTGCAACTATTCTATTATGCGATGAAAAATCATCTTTCCAGGTGTTATATTCCAACCCATTGGCACGTGACCACGGCAAGATCATCCTGATCACGCAGCCTCCGGACGAAGTTCCTTCAGAGAATTTCTTCTGTCACGAGATGAACGCCGTCGACCTCGGCTCGGCTCAGAGCGGCCGACAGGTGATGTCGATCCTATACATCACAAACGCTTCCTCAAATACCACGTGGTACGAGACAATGGCATCGAATCCCCCGGGAAAGGTTCTGAGAGTTGAAGACTCCCACGCCACGCTGCATACGAAGATCAAACTGCTGGATTACCTGCACCAGCTGGACCAGGCCTCTTCTGACGGCGAGCTCTTGCAGGTAGGGAGGATTTCTGGGCGGGTTGCGCGGGCCAGATAATGCAATGCGATGACATTAGTAATCATAATGATAACAATCATAGTGATTGTTATCATTGTAATAGCAGTATTGATGAACAATGATAATATAATGATATGACTGTAACTGTAATAATTGCAGTCACTACTAGTACGTCTATGCCTCTCACGTTCGCTGCTTTTGCAGGAATTTTTTAGTAGTCTTGTACCATCGAGTAATTGTTACCACACTATGAGCATAACCATCACCATAATTATAATTATAATCCACTTCATCGTAATAATTATCCTAATCATGGCCTACTGTCCCTCTGCCAGGAAATCCCACCAAGCAAAGAGCCCGGATGCGTTAAAACCTTCCTCTTAGAAGACACGCTGTTGCCAGCAGATGGCTTCCTCGTTATCCACCGTGAAAAAGATTCCAATGGACGGTTTCCCTCCACAATAGCGAAGGCGATCAAAACCTTTTGCTCGGCCAGCCGGAGCTCCTTGACACAGCTGATCTGTTCTCGGTTTTGTTTACTATTCCAGTGAGTCTGCTGTGTGCGTGCTTATCGGCGACACTATTGTGTTATGTTATGGTTTGTCATGGTATGCTGTGCATCCGGTTGTGAACAAACAGAGTTACTTTAAAATTCTCATAATTTTTAGATTAAATTCGTACCAGCCTCAGTCATTTAACTTTCAGGCATTTTCTTCGAATAGTTATCTTTCTCATCAAAATGTCATCAAATCGTACTTCATATTCCCTCTCTTGTCTTACGCAAGGGACCTTGGAATTTAACACTAGGGAACACGGACTGCACGAGTGTGATCCCGTAGTGTTTGTGAAGAGAAAATCGGGTTTTGCTGACGTGCTGGACATG